GTCCTTAGCATTTTGAGGGGTCCACATCTCTAGCCAATGCCATGCCAATCATTGAAGTTTTTAAAATAATTAACTTGAATGGATATTAGTTCAATGAGTTATATGTTGTTATGAATTATCAAAACCACCTGAGAATTAGTTGCACTTTCAAGGGGGGACCAAACCGGAGAGGCACGCCCAAGAAACAACGTGACATTGGGCGTGGCGTTTGATAGTGTACTACATTTCTAGCTCAAATCTACTTTGCCCTGATCAGTCTCCCCCATCTCATATACACTGGATGCCACCTCAATCGAAAAAAAGTTCTTGCCACTCATGCAATCAGTTGCGGCCCAATATTTTGGGAAAGTGGGCCAGTAGTTAATTTCCATAGAATATTGGGCCAAGCTGGGTCTTCCTTTACTTTTATGTAATTTCTTCTCTATGATAGGCATGTCTATGTCTCACTTTCGGGACCTCCTATATGTCGCATTCTACAACATATTATCGAGCAAACACACATGGGGAGTCCGCCATGAGCTAGTTCAGCAGTGGGCCAGTAGTTAATTTCCATAGAATATTGGGCCAAGCTGGGTCTTCCTTTACTTTTATGTAATTTCTTCTCTATGATAGGCATGTCTATGTCTCACTTTCGGGACCTCCTATATGTCGCATTCTACAACATATTATCGAGCAAACATACATGGGGAGTCCGCCATGAGCTAGTTCAGCAGTGAGCGTGCATTGTAGCGCGTGGTCGAAAATCCAAAAAAATTGTATGCTTGCTAGGCACCGAACCTGGGACCTCACACGGTCGTGAGCGTGTTGCTTGCCAACAAACCCAACTAGTTTTGGTGATACATACATGGCCGTTGTTTTAAGAACTCTCAACTCGAAGGGGCATACTATAATGACTGACCGATCTACTCTACCTAACGCACTTTCTTAAAATGAACATTTTTTAAATTTTGAAATGTTTTGGAAACATAAACACTGTTTGAAAAACTATTAAATATTTCTCATAATTTGAACCTTATTTTGAAATCATGAACATTTTTTCAAATATGCAAACCTTTTTCAAAACCTATGATTTTTCTCTTGAATTTTGCGAACAGTTTTCAAAATTTACAAACATTTTTTGAAAACACGACTATATGTTTTTTGAAAAATGTGAATTTTATTTTGTAAATCTTGAATATTTTCTGAAATCACAAACATTTTCTAAATTTTGAAAGAAGCAAACGGGAACATTTGGTAAATTAACAATAATTTTTATAAAACGTGAACACTTTCTGAAAATGCGAACAAATTTTACATTTTTTTACAAAATCCGAACAAAATTTGAAACTTGGGAAGTTTTGTCTAAATTTTGAACAAAATGTTGAAACCGTTTACATTTTTTTTGAAATTCCTAAACATATTTCCAAAATTGCAAACAAATTCTGAAAACAAGAGCATTTTTTGCAATTCCTGAACATTCATTTTAACATGATTTTTTAAATTGTGCACAAATTTTGAAGACTATATTTTTTTGGAAGTTACTAAATATTTATTGAAGCACGTTTTTTTTTGGAAATTGTGAACAATTTTTCAAAGCAACATTTTTTTTTGAAATTCTTTACCATTTCATGAAACATGATTTTTTTTGAAAATGAGAAGATTTTTGAAATTCTTAAACAAATTTTGAAACACACTCTTTTTTTAAATTGTGAAGAAATTTGGAAAATGTGATCATATTTATGGAATTTTCGAACAAAAGAAACCAAAAATAGAATCAGAAAAACAGAAACAAAATAAAAATGAAAAACCAAAAAGAGAGAGAGAGAAAAAGAAATAGAAACAAAAGGAATAATGGAAAAGGAAAAATAGAAAAACTGGTCCAGGAACCTTCTAGAAGGTTACCAAAACCGATAAAAATCATTGGAAACCTTCTAGAAAATTCCCAAAAGCGGAACATGAAAGATGTACCTATGCTACAGATGGGCATGCCCAATCGCTTGCTCGGTCGCTTCGTATGTGCAATTGGCCGACAGTTTGACACCAAATGCGTCAAATAAGGATTTCCCTCGCATTTAGGTAGAATGACGACCGCCTCGGCTACGACATCAGATGAAATGGGCCACGCCCAGCTACCAAGAATGGCTCTTATTTTGTATAGGAAGAACAGATCGACCAAAATAAATGTGGATGGTGGCATCTGTAGGTCAGGATGATCAGTGATTATATATGGGCGCTTTAGCTCTCGTCTTGCCGGGAGTTACTGATCCTGCAGACCTGGAAGCTATTGCTTGTTGCGAAGGCATTGCCTTGGCTATTGACTTGAATCTCGAGAGGGTGCATATGGCGACGGATTGCCTAAATATGAGGTGATTTTCAAGGATATTAATGCTTCTAGATCTTCTTTCACCTTAAGTAATTTCGTTCATGAAAAAAGAGGCTCAAATTACGAAGCCCGCAATTTAGCTAGGTTTGCATTTACTTTAGATCAGGGGAGACACACATGGCTTGGTCTGCCCCATAACACTCTTTGCATTCCGATGATTATTAACGAATTAACCTAGTGGATTGTGCTAAAAGAAAAGGAAAACCGTTCAAGCAGCTCAGAAAAAGTGTCCATGCATTTTTAATAAAACTTTCATGACACCAACTATTTTCACTAATTTATAAAAAATATTCGTGACATTTAAAAAATGGTGTACCATCCAACAAAAACTCGTTTAAAATTTGTTCATGAAATACAAAAATGTGCTCACTCAATTTTTAAAACATGTTCGTGACTTATAAAAAGTGTTTTTTACCATTGAAAAATGATTTCAGCATTTATAAAAATGTTCATGAAAATGTAAAAAATATATAGTGTAAATTTTGGAGAATTTTCACGGCATATGACTACATGTTCGCAACATATTTTTTTATGAAAATGTGAAAAATTGTCCGCACTTTTTTTAAAAAAGTTCATGCCATATAAAAATGTTCACTCTTTTATTTTACAAAGAACATGAAAAGAAAAAGAAAAAAAATAACAGGAACGAAGAAAGAAAAAAGTATAAAAATCGGTAGAAAAAATATTGGAAAGGAAAAAAAGTCTGAAAGCTTCCGAAAAAGCACGGAAGGTTCCAAAAAAAAATCAGTCCCTACTGTACATAGAAGCTCCTCAAAATGGCACATGGAAGCTTCTCAAAACCGTTGTTGGGTTGGCCCACTTGAATGAGCGACGTAGGCGACCGCTCATTTCGTCTCGCAGTAAGCAAGATTCAACATTTGCTCGCTATGATAAATAAATGATTAGGAAATCTTATGGTGGACTGTGGCCCACCCGTCAATACCTCGGTCTATCCCTTTTATCATCTCTTATTTGCTTTTCTGCTCGGACACATGTCACTCCCATCTCTTCCCAAGCACGCACGCCATCCGTTTGTGAAAGATTCATTGTTAATTTTTTTCAACAAAATTGTATTATCTGATCATACAAACTTTCCTGATCCCAGGTAGAGATCAGTTGTGTTCTAGAACAAACTAATGGTGCTCACTCATGAGTGAATCTACCATTGATGCGACACCTTATGTTAGACATTTTTCATATGATGTTTTTTTAATTAAAAATGGCATCTTAGATGGACACGGAGTTTCTGCTCCAAGACTCATCTGCACCCCCTCTCAGAAAAAAAATTCAAAACAAATGCTAAAAAAATTCAAAAAATTCCAATTTTTTTGGGTGGTAGATAATTTGATGCGTGAGGTTCGCACCAAATTTCAACTTATTTAGATATCTGAGCAGCTCTCGGCAAAAAAGACAAAATGGGGGTCTATAAAAATATTTACTGTTCACACACTGTTCTGACCCGATTTGTCTTTTTTGCCGAGAGCTGCAAAAATATCAAAATGTGTTGAAATTTAGAGCTGACCTCACGCATCAAATTATCTACCACCCAAAAAAAATTTGGATTTTTTTGAATTTTCTAGTATTTATTTTGATTTTTTTTCTAAGCGGGAGCAGATGAGCCTGGGCACCGAGTTGGATTTCCGATCTTAGATACCTTAGTTTGTGCTTTGCTCGGCCTTCGAGAGGTTTCTGGATCCACCAAAGGTGATTAGATAAGGTGCTAAGTGCATCAAAGAATTTATAAACTAAACTCCCCAATGCATGCATAGGTGCTTAGCCTATTGTAGCTAAGTTTCCTTCATTTGATTGTTTAGCAACAAAAATTCCTCATGCTATGTGTTTTGCATAGATTTGCTCGCTTACATCATTTCTTCCTCGGGTCTCGATTCTCCCTGTTTTTCTTAATTTCTTTGCTATGTCAACTTTTTGCCTACGTGGCATTCTTAGCATCATGGAGCGCTGAGAAAAGCCTAAAGCACATGAAGACAAGAACTAGCTAACTGCCAAAAAAATTTGTTTCGAGAGGGATGCGCTTGCATTACCAACCCGTAAGTGACATACCATGTGAACTGTGGGCGCGGATGGATTGATACAAACATGTTCGCTTCCACGTATTCCATAACCATCATCTTTATCATCCACACACGATTTCAATCAAATTTCTCTTGGGATGGATGACAACCATAAGGTTGCCTTTTTGCCGTTGCCACGCGTGATTAAAGACACTTTTGTTGTCATTGCCGGAGTCGGCTCCTTGGCAAGGCAAGAAAGACAAGGTGCAATATTTGTCCATAAGCTCTTTAAAAAAAACATGTTTAAGGAGTGATATGCAACTAGCAATTGATCTGTCATTGTTGCGTGTGGTTAAAGATTGCCAGTGGAGTTTGGAAGAAGATTAGCCCTCCAAACACACTCACAGTTAGGAGTTTTTGTTTTCATCCGCTTTACATGGCTGGCAAGATTTCACCAAAAAAGAAAAAAAATACATGGCTGGCATGAACACGCAACATTTACATACAACAACCGTCACGTGAACATCCCACATGCCACAACAACCATCTCCTATAACTATGAGCCATCCAAGCCTAGTCTCAGCAATCCATCAACCAAATCCATCAACCAAGATAGCCTGCCAGCCATGGGAAGCAAGGGCTTCAAGGGTGTGATAGTGTGTTTACTCATACTGGGGTTGGTTCTGGAACAGCTGCAGGTAGAAGGCAAGAGCTGCTGCAGGAGCACCCTGGGAAGAAACTGCTACAACCTTTGCCGCGCCCGTGGTGCTCAGAAGTTATGCGCAGGCGTCTGTAGGTGTAAAATCTCAAGTGGCCTAAGCTGCCCTAAAGGCTTCCCTAAATTGGCCCTTGAGTCCAACTCAGGTAAAGAGAATGAACTCCTTCTATTTTATATACTACCTCTTTTTTTAAAATAGAATAGATGTCATTCTGATAAGCATATAGTCAAGTTAAAATTTCCTAGTTTTCTTACTAATATGATAACGTATTTTGAATGTGTTAGATGGCGTTAGATGATCAGATTTGCCATGGATATTTTTCCACAAGTTTTTCTTTCACGATTTTCTACCAACAAGTAATAGGAAAAATAACTAACAAGGAACGAATGATAGAGGCCATGTGAATATCCAAAGCATATTGTAAGTGAGGAATTATTTGTTTCCGACAGGATTTTATTTACACGCTATATATTTTAATTTGACAGATGAACCAGACACCATTGAGTACTGCAACTTGGGATGTAGGTCTTCCGTGTGTGACTACATGGTCAACGCAGGTAAAGAAAATTCATCTTGTATTTGCATTCCTGTAAACTAATTGATGAAAAAGGCTAGTTATTGACACATAATATGTTATTTGGGCACCAGCTGCTGACGATGAAGAGATGAAACTCTATGTGGAAAATTGTGCTGATGCTTGTGTCAGTTTCTGTAACGGTGATGCTGGCCTCCCATCCCTTGATGCGTACTGATGCGTGTCCATGGTCTGAGATTTCACAGGGCAAGGTCGTGTCTCACCTTTGCGTTCAATAAAATTGGATCCCATCGAGAGTATCCAAACCAGTGTGTCACCCTGTTTTATGTGTGTGTATGTCCATTCCTTGTTCGAAATAAAAGCCATCATGATGGATGCCATGTTGCTGCCCTGATGCACTACCATGACTGAGATATAATGGTGTATGTTGTATCATTTGCCTGTGGGTATAAACTCTGTCTGGGAGACCCCAGTGCTGCGTGGCGGTGGTTGCTCGCGCGCCGGCTCAAAGGGCTCAGATCGGGGCAGCGCCTGATCTGCTGCTCCGTCTTTGGAGGTGACCTCTTGGGGTCGGTGACGGCACAGCTGCACTTTTTCCTCTACCGGACGGCGTAGAAGCGGCGATGGGTGCGGCAGTGCGGCGCGTGGCGAGTGGTAGCACACTGGTGTTGGTGGTGGGCGTCGTTGGTGTGCTTTGGTCGCGGCTGCACGGGCAGCAGGCTAGAGCGTTAGTTGGCGGCGAGGTTGGCATTCGTCGACAGCGCGGAGGCGAGGCGGTTGCTGCATTGTGGCTTCAAGACTACTCGTAGTAATGGTGGTGGTGGTGCCAACACCTATGCAGGCAGCCCTCCATGGTGTTGTGGAGGCCGCGGCGTTTCTTTTTCCTTTTGGTTTGGTTCGCCGTTGTTGATGTTCGCAGGGGCCTGGCCCCTACCTTGGATAAGAGGCGGGGAGGCATAATACTCTGGGCGAAAGCCTTGTTCTTGGTCGGGGGTCGTCGCCCGTGATGTTGGTGCCCATGGGCGTCCTCCTCCTATATTGTCGAAGAGTACTTCTTCACGCTAATCTGTGACTGGTCAGCGAGGAGTGGCATCGGAACCTAATGGCTAGGATTGATCTATCCCAATTTTTGGCGGGGCGGTCATGCAGGGGTCTATGCGAAAGCTTATTGATTGATGGGGGTTGATGCCGGTGAGGACGGCGTTCTCGGGCATTGTTTTTCCTTCTTGAAGTCGTCATCGAAAATCTTGCTTACTATCGCTCCAGATTGTGGTCATGTAAGGTGGTGGTGGCATGTTTGTGTTGGTGTCGGTGTTGGTTCATGTTGGTTTTCAGCCTTGTTTTTCTTTTAAACCGGTCAACTCTGAATTAGTTCTCTCTTAATGAAATCGATAGAGCTCCTGCCTTGCTTGTAAAAGTGAAAGTAATTTACAATGGTGCATTCAGTGGACGTGTAAACAAGGTAGGATTGTTCTTTGTAAAAAATAGTATTACCGGTTTTAAAAGTTTATAATGCAACTAATCTGGTTTTAAAGTTAAAGGACTAAATCTAGACTTTGTCAAGAGTTAAGAGATGAAAAGTATATTTTTCTCTTAAAGTTAAAGATAGGAGTAGTATAGGGGAAAAAACAAAGCTCTAGTTTAGATGTCATATAGAGCCATGTATCTACACACGAAAAACTTCCCGCGGCAAGCGTGATCAGCAATCTACAAATCTTGCACATGAAAAACCAAGGTGACATTGGTCACACGTTGTTTGATATACATCGCCAGCTCAAACCTCAAAGTCATGCACATGTGTACAGCAAAGAGATGTCTTTCTGGCATGCACGTATCGTTCCCAACAAAAAAGAAAAGGTATTTCGTTGGCATATAATACGACACTCCCGGACGCAGAGTTTCTGCACCCGAGCTCAAATGAGCTCGGGTGAACAGTAAAATCAAAACTAAATAAAAAAAGTTCAAAAAAATCCAAATATTTTTTTGGGAGAACATTGACAAAAGTTTTAAGAGTTTGCAAAAAATCGTCATGAAATCACATTTCTAGAAGGCGTGCCAAAAAAAACAAAATCGGTACTCTGAAAATGCTACTTTCAAAAGCATTTTGGAGCACTGAATTTGTTTTTTTTTTTGCCACGCCTTACAGGAATGTGATTTCATGATGAATTTTTGCAAGCACTTAGAACTTTTGTCAATGCTTCTCACAAAAAAAATGGAATTTTTTGAATATTTTTTTCGATTTTACTGTTCACCGAGCTCAAATGAGCTCGGGAGCAGAAAGGCACTTTCGGGCACTCCCCCTCTATTCCCAGGCACACATGTCATTTTGACAAAAATTGTATTTTGTCCAAACCCCGCCCCATAGTTGCATGCTGCAACAAAATAGGACCTGCTAGAGTGAAATCGGATTTTTAAAGTTTCAAAAGAAAATCTAAACAAAATGTGCTTGTGCCAAAATACATTACTTTATTTTGTTTGTGTAGCTCACGTCAAAAACGCATTTCATCGTATATACGAGTATATTTTTATAGAAATGTAGTAAAAAAAAACTCGCCGGCTTGCATGTAACATCCTACTGGATAGCTTCGTGCAGGTCACAACACCGTCACCGTCGTCGTCGTCGGCTCCGGCCAACTTTGTCCGCGCGCCATCGATCCAACTTTTTGCCCCGTGTGGGAGAAGAAAAGAAACTATGGCCCCGGTGCGCTTTGGTTTTTCACGTGCAACAACCAGTACTCATCTAGACACTCCCACGGCCATCATCTCCTAGTATAAAAATCGATACCAGGAGCCCATCGAGCTCACTCTAATCTCATCAGTCCTTCAACCAAAAGCCCCCATTAGTACTCGTGCCTTCTGCAAGAGAGCCCGGCAGCCATAGCCATGGGAGGAGGCAAAAAGGGTCTGGAGAGTGCGATCGTGTGCCTACTCGTGCTGGGGCTGGTCCTGGAGCAGGTGCAAGTAGAGGGCGTGGACTGCGGCGCAAACCCCTTCAAAGTGGCCTGCTTCAATTCTTGCCTTCTCGGTCCTAGTACAGTGTTCCAGTGCGCAGACTTCTGTGCTTGTCGACTCCCCGCGGGCTTGGCCTCTCTACGCAGCTCCGGTAAAGACAGACAACTCGCTACTTCTAATTTATATACTTTCTCCTTTTCAAAGTAGATGTGATCCTAAAAATGTGTAATGTCAAATTAACAAAATTCCAAGTTTACCTATTAATATACTGTAATAAACTGTTCTGAATTTGTTAGCTGATGTTTTGTATGATAAGATTTGACATGAATGATTTTTCATAATGCTAACAAACATCTACCAAAAATTATTGTGAAAATAGCTAATAGAGAATGAATGATAGAGGCCATCCCAATACACAAAACATCGACATATTGTAACCGAGGAATTGTTTATCTCAGATCTACTTCGTTTTGGCAGATGAACCAAACGCCATTGAGTATTGCAGCTTGGGATGCAGGTCTTCTGTGTGTGACAACGTGATCAGCACAGGTAAATAGAATCCATCTGAGTATATTTATGTTTCATTTGTACATGTAAACTAATTGAAAAGTTAGTTCTTGACGCATACTATCCTGTTTTGGCACCAGCTGACAACACTGAAGAGATGAAGCTCTATGTGAAACGCTGCGGTGATGCTTGTGACAGTTTCTGTAAGGGGGATACTCTCTTGGCATCCCTTGATGACTAATAATGCATATGCTTGGTCTGAGATTTCACAGGCCAAAGTTATGTCTCACCATCGAGTTCAATAAAACAGGATCCCATCGAGAGTATCCAAACCAGCGTGTCAGTTTGTTTATGTGCTTGTGTGTATTTTCTTTCGTTGCTCCAATAAAAGATATCATGGTGGATGCCATGTTGATGCCTGCTTCATGTACTGCCATGATTGAGATATAATAATATATGTTGTGTCATTTATGGATATAAACTCTATGAGCATATGCCTCACGTAATATTCTTTGGTCTTTGAATTATTTATTTTAGGCTTGACCTCAAGTTGTTTGATGTCTGTGATGTAAACCATGAAATGTATCTTGTTTTCCGCATTTTCAGTGAACACTTCTCTGCAGTATTCTGTTGATACGCAGAGGGTTACCTCCTTTTCGAAGAGGAAAATATTTAGTTGATATTTATGGCATCGACCAAACAAGTCCAGGCTACTACTTCAGATGGAACCGCCCATTTTCTGCAATATTCAAGGACATGTTCGATGCATAGAAGTAACTGCCCTAGTCCCTAGTCAGATGCATGTGTCTAGCAGTCTTCCGTATTTTCACCATGTCTCCATCTACCATTAGCCAATAACTAGTCGCTTGCGCTTAAACAGGCGAACACTTTTGATAAATATTTATCCAAAAGCTTGTATAAATTAGAATTGTTGGGGAAAAAAGATGTTCTATGAGTTTAACAATTTTTTAAATACATGATTAACATTATTTTAAATATACAAGTTTTGATATCTATACTTTCTGTATACATCAAGAGAATAAATTATAGAAGTTTAATTTTTTAATACATGATTAACATTTTTTCAAATACATGTTTTGATATCTACTTTGTGCCAGACACATTGTACATTTTTTGTATACATCTGAAACATTTATTTTATATATGTTTAACATTTCTCAAATACATGATTAACATTTTTTTCAAACATGTGTTTTTGAACATTGTTGTTCGCATATGTATTAAACAGTTTTTCAATTACGTGTTGAAACATTTTTTTCAAATGCTATCACCATTTTTTTAAAGTTGCACAAACACTTTTTTAACACTGCACAAATTTTTTCAAAAAATATATTTTGATGTCTACATTTTTCATACACCATCTATATTTTTTATATACATCATAAAATATATACACGTTTAACCTTTTTTCATATATATGTTTTGATGTTTTTTTTTTTCATACATGTTGTATATTTTACCTATACATTAGAAACAATTTTCTGTACATGTTTTGAATAAGAAATTATACTACCATCGGGTTTCTCAACATAATTCAAACTTGGCTTCATCTTTTTGAAACCGAAATAGTTAGAACATACATGTCTCATTTGAGACCAAATGTAAGCCAAGTATGAAACAAGCAAATCCATTCATTTTTTTTAAAATAAACCAATCGGGACAACTTTGATTGCAATAATAAGTCACTATCGGTCATTGTAAATGGCACAACATGTTGACCGATATGCTTTGTAACAATCTTATTGCTAACAAATAAATTACCCTTCTCCATTGGTCTCTCAAGATTGTTTATAAGGATTTTTTTAATAGATGCATCAACAACAAAGTTATGACCAAATCTTAATATAGGTCATTACTTGCTAGAGACCTCTTGAAATAGGTTGGGAGAGCATAATGGTTGCATGACTTGAATAATATCTTGCTCCGCTTTTGGATGACTCCCCAACACCTTGTCTTCATCTTTTTCTTGATTGTTTGCATAATTACTTTGAAGATCTTTGTCAACCGAACTTTGTTCAGCTACTTGTTGTTGTCCTTGAAGCTCGTCAACTTCTATGGCACGAAACTTATAGGGCTGGAAGTAGGTTCCATTAACTTCAGAAAAATCAAGCATGATGCCCTTTCTCAATAATGCTTGCCTCTTTGGATTTGATGAATTTAGAATATATACTACTTAATTCGGCCTTTTCAGCCGAAGCATTTTCACGTTCTAAATCCTTCTTTTCATTGATTCTACTAATTCGCAATGCTTCTTTTATTTGAGCCAATTCTTTTTTTGTTTGTTCTTGGCCCATGACCGAGTCCGCGAGCAGCCCACGATCTGACGTCTTGGACAGTGGCACTACTTAGCGGCTCGTCAATTAATCTGCGATTAATTAATCATTTTTGACTGGCAAAAATAAGCTTCGGCTCGTTCCGGCAACCCATGGCGCGCACACGTCGTGACGACGCGAGGCTTGCGGAGGAGGAGGAGTGGGCATGTACAACTCCTCTTCCCAAGCTTCCAATGACATGTGGTAGAGCGTCCCTTCTAAAGGGGTCTCACTCTCACTCTACTAGCAGTATGGTACTAAACTTACCATCATTTGCCATGCATCTAAGTGAGCCTTAGAGATTAGCCAGGGATTATTGTCTTGTATGGGCATAAGCCCATCTATAATCCAACATATTTAAAACCAATATTTTTTTTTTCAAAACCATGTTATCCTTGGAAAACTTCAAAAATGCTGAGCTGCCAAATACAGCCTGATCTTTTTAGAGATTTCAATATGAGTTATATATAAAATTATAAATGTATATGAACGTATTTTATAGTATAGACTTATTTTGCTTCGCATGTAATTTATGTTGAAATCTATAAAAAAACTTATATTTAAAATGAAGGAAATACTAGAATGTAGTAAAAAACGCGCCGGCGTGCACGTAACATCCCTACTGGATAGGTGCGCCCAGGTCACAACTTTGTCCGCGCGCGCCGTCGATCCAACTTTTTATCCCGTCTGGAAGAAGAAACTATCCCGTTCTGCTTTGGTTTCACGTGCAACAACCAGTACTCATGTACACACTCCCACGACCATCATCTCCTAGTATAAAAAATCGATACTAGTAGCCATCCAAATCTAGTCTCAGAAGCCCTTGAACCAAAGCCCCCATTATTACTCGTGCCTTCTGCAGGAGAGCCATGGGAGGAAGCAAGAGGGGCCTGGAGAGTGCGATCGTGTGTTTGCTCGTGCTGGGGCTGGCCCTGGAGCAGGTGCAGCAAGTAGAGGGCGTGGATTGCGGCGGGAGCATCTTCAAAGTGGCCTGCTACCATTCTTGCCTTCTGGGTCCTAGTACAGTGTTTTAGTGCGCAAACTTCTGTGGCTGTTACCTCCCTGCTGATTTGGCCTTTGTACGCAGCTCCCGTAAAGACACATAACTCAGGACGCGGAGGAATTGATCCCGGGCACCAGTGATCCCGGATGAACAGTAAAATCCGAAAAAATAGTAAAATAATTCAAAAAAATCTGAACTTTTTTGTCAAGAAACTTTGATATTTTTTCTACATGCGTGCCAATTTTCGTGATGAAATGACATTTGTGGAGGTGTCAGCAAAAAAACAAAATCATGCTCCAAAAAAACTGTTTTTGGAAGCATTTTGGAGCATCGATTTTGTTTTTTTTGCTGAGACCTGCATGAATATCATTTTGTCATGAAAATTTGTACGCATGTGAAAATTATATCAATGTTTGTTGCCAAAAAAATTCAGATTTTTTTGAACTTTTTAAATATATTTTTTGTTTGTACTGTAGCAAAGGGTGCCTGTGAGCTCGAGCTCACAATAGCACTTTCGCATAACTCACTACTACTTTTAGTTTATACTCCCTCCTGTCTCATATACTAATAACACTCAATCTGATCTATCTAGCACTAAAATACGTCTAAATACATTCATTGAGCGACAATTAATATGAGACGGAGTATATGCTACTCTCTCAGTCCCACTGGGACCAAGGAAGTATATACTATCTCCTTTTTGAAGTAGACATTGATGCTAAAAGAGTATTTTCCCAAGTTTACCTACTAACATAATATAAAATATTATTAATTTGTTTAGATGATATTTGTATGATCATATTTCACATGAATAATGTTTCCATGATCCCAAAAGGTAGTTGTGTAAATAGCTAATACAGATCTATTTCGTTTTGGCAGATGAACTAAACACCATTGAGAATTGCAGCTTAGAATGTAGGTCTTCCGTGTGTGACAACAAGGTCATGGTCAACATAGGTAAATAAATCCATCTGAATATATTTATATTCATTTTGTATGTGGAAACTAATTAAAAAGTTAGTAATTGACGCATACTATGCTTTTTTGGCACCAGCTACCAACAGTGAAGAGATGAAACTCTTTGTGAAACTCTGCGGTGATGCTTGTGATAGTTTATGTAAGGGGGATGCTCTACTGGCATCCCTTGATCTTGATGACTAATAATGCATATGCATGGTCTGAAATTTCACAAGCCAAAGTTATGTCCCGCCTTCGTGTTCAATAAAACTGGATCCCATTGAGAGTATCCAAACAAGTGTGTCGGTTTGTTTATGTGCTTGTGTGTATTTTCTTTCGTTCCTACAGTAAAAAATATCATGGTGGATGCCATGTTGCTGCCTGCTTGATGTACTGCCATGATTGAGATATAATAATATATGTTGTATCATTTGCCTATGGATATAAACTCTATGAGCATATGCCTCATGTAATATTCTTTGGTCTTTAATTTATTTATTTTAGGCTTGACCTCAAGTTGTTTGATGTATGCGATGTAAACCATGAAACGGATCTTGTTTTCCGCATTTTCAGTGAACACTTCTCTGTAGTATTCTGTTGATATGCCGGGGGTTTTGACCTCCTTTTCGAAGAGAGAAAAAAAATATTCCGTTGATATTTATGGTATCGCTCAAACAAGTATGGGCTACTACTTCAGATGAAACCGCCCATTTTCTGCAATATTCAAGGACATGCTCTTTTTGCATGATATACAAGGTCATGTTCGATGCATAGAAGTAACTGTCCTAGGCAGATGCATGTGTTTAACAATCCTCCCTATTTGCACCATGTCTCCATCTACCATTAGCCCATAACTAGGTGCAACACTCGCGCTTAAACAGGCGAACACTATTGATATATATTTATCCAAAAGCTTGTATAAATTAGAATAGTTGGAGGAAAAAGATGTTCTATGAGTTTAACAATTTTTTAAATACATGATTAACATTATTTTAAATGTGCATATTTTGAGATCTAAATTTTTTATACATCAAGAAAATAAATTATACACGTTTAAATTTTTTTAAATAGATGATTAAAATTTGTAAAGATGATAATTATCATTTTTTTAAATACATGTTTTGATGTCTACTTTGTGCGAGACGCATTGTACATTTTTCGTATACAGCTGAAACATTTATTTTATACTCCCTCCGTTCCTAGATATAGGGTGTATAGTTTTTGAACATTTATTTTATACTCCCTCCGTTCCTAGATATAGAGTATATGTTTAACATTTTTCAAGTACATGATGAACATTCTTTTAAACACGTGTTTTTGAACATTGTTGTTCTCATATGTACTCCCTCTGTAAAGGAATATAAGTAGTGATCTAAACGCTTTTATATTTCTTTACGGAGTATTAAGCATTTTTTCAATTACGTGTTGAAACATTTTTTTCAAATGCTATCACCATTTTTCAAAAGTTGCACGAACATTTTTTTAACACTGCACAAACTTTTTCAAAATATATATTTTGTTTTATACATTTTTTATATAAATCATAAAAAAATATACACGTTTAACATTGTGTCATATACTCCCTCCGGATCTACTACATTGTTACGGAGTACTCCCTCCGTAAACTAATATAAGAGCATTTAGATAATTAAAATAGTGATCTAAACGCTCTTATATTAGTTTACAGAGGGAGTATATGTTTTGAGGTTGTGGATCACCAGCGGGCCGACCGATTATCGTCCGCTTCTGTCTCGCTACAAGCAAGTCATACTCGCGCCCGCCTCCAGATCCTAAAGAAAGAAAAATCTCGCCCACCCCCCCTGTACGGCGGCACCGGATCTTGTAGGGGAGGCCAAGGAGGACACCACCCTCTACCGCGTGCGCCGAGCCGACCACCGAGAAGGGAATCGAGGAGGCGGCGGCGCCCTTCCGCGCTCGGTCCCTGACCTGAAGCGGCTGGCCGGTGGCCGCGAGGAGGACCGCAAGGCAGCGGTATGGCCTTGCATTTTGCGCCCTTCTCCATTGCATTGTTCAAGATTTCGTGTGCCGCGGTCTCCGGCATGGCCGGGAGCAGGAGTATGCCGAGTTCCTGTATATGTCGAAGCGCCACTCCACTGATTTCGGTGAGCGCTCTCTCAATTTCTCTGTTTCCTCGCACGGGGACGATTAGTAGCCAGACTTTAGGAGTACATTGTTTTTGCATATTTGACACTAATGGAAAAAATATATATGCCTGAGTAGGATTCCCAAGAGCGTTTGTGAGGCACAAATAAGCAATTTTCTCTGTTGTTCTAGCACAAATAAGCAATCCCTTCTAGTACTAGATAGCCAGTCAGATATACAGTACTTATCATCTTGAGCTTCAGTTCAGTGCATGTGTCCTTCTTTGATCAAAAAAAAAAAAGTTCAGTGCATGTGTAAGCATGTGACTCTGCCGGTTTCCTCGGTGATTGTTGGTTACCACTGTCATTAGTTTTTGTTTCTGGCTGCTAGCTAGTGTGTAGACTAGGAAGTGGAGCTATGAACAATGTTGATCAGCTGTCCTAGTAAGTAGGACAAATTTTGCAGACTGGATCTGCCAATCACTGACATCCTCAATTCAGATCGACAACAACCCCAGCCAAAGAAAACCGTCCCTGACAACCTTGTGTTTTCTTAGGACTTCAAGCGAATATTGATGCACAATAGCTATAGTTTAACAGGTCAGTACAAAGTTTAAACACAATACTGAACCTAACTAGCTCTCTACAGGTAAAGCTATTAGTGGATCAACTTAGGACTGCTCATATGCCAGTCCCATCTCTAGAGACAGGACTCGAGAACAACACTTGTCTCATGTCTCCACTGGAAGGTCGAAGCATTGATCTGCCTAGCTAGCTGGTGCATGCCGGTACGTATGTACTTGATCCTTGTTTTTTGTTCCTTATTATCCTCTCTCTAGCATGGATGCAACATCTCGATAACAGTAACAGCTAGCTAGACTACATACTACTACTAGTAGATGTTTTACACATATATATGATCTAGTTATAGTGTATGGCTATGTGCATCGGTCAATCCAGAGGCCGGGGGTTATCCTCATGTTGAAAAAAAAA